CGGCAATGGCCGCGACGTAAACCTTAAGGGTGGAGGGCGACAGCCTGCGCTCCAACCCTTCTTGCAGGAAGGAAAGCACGACACTGATCGAACATCTCCGGGGGTCTTCTCCGCGAGAAGAGCACCAATTGACGAAGAGGTTCCACTTCAACGCATAAAGGTGTCTCGTGGACGACGCTCTTGCGGAAGTGATGGTTGCCGCCACCGCAGGTGGCAGCGAACTCAAACCTGCCTCGTCCCGTCCAGGAGCCACACGTGCAGCCTCCAAAGATCGGGACGAGGGTGCCACAGAGTGCCCCGTCTCTGAGAGAGTAGGTCTTGTCTCAGAGGAATAGGCCAAGGAGGTGCTGTCGCGAGGAGCATGAGATCGGAGAACCACGTCTTGGTGGGCCAGTAGGGGGCTACCAGCAAGACCTGCTCCTCGTCCTCCTTGATCTTGCACAACACCCGTGCAAGGAGGCTCACTGGGGGAAACGCATACTTGCGTGGGCCCCGTGGCCAGCTGTGCGCCAGCGCATCCGAACCGAGAGTGCCCCAGGTCAGAGAATAAAACTGGGCGCAGTGGGCTGAGTCCCGGGAGGCGAACAGATCTATCTGTGCCTCCCCGAACTCTTTCCAGATCAGCTGGACCGACTGGGGATGGAGTCGCCACTCGCCGGAGATAGGGCGGACCCGAGACAGCTCGTCGGCTGCCCAGTTCCGGTCTCCAGGAATGTGAACTGCACGAAGGGACCTCAGGTGCTTCTGACTCCATATCAAGAGGTGGCGGGCGAGCTGCGACAACCGGCGCGAGCGTAGACCCCCCTGGTGGTTGATGTACGCTACAGCCGTAGTGTTGTCTGAGCGGACAAGCACATGCTGGCCCTTGAGCAACGCTCTGAAGCGGTGCAGGGCGAGCCGTACTGCCAGCAGCTCGAGGCAATTGATGTGCATGAGGCGCTGGGCCCCCGTCCAGGAGCCGGCGGCTGCATGCCCATTGCACATGGCACCCCAACCCGTGGTAGATGCATCCGTGGAGACGATGAGATGCCTGGAAACTCGCTGAATAGGGACGCCCGTCCGTAAAAAGCTGAGGTTCGACCACGGGAAGAAGGTTCGCCGGCATGCCGGAGTCACTGGGACTCGGAGCGAGCCGCGATGCCATGCCCACCTCGGGACTCGATCGCGAAGCCACAGCTGAAGCGGTCTCATATGAAGCAAACCGAGCGGCGTTGCCGCGGCCGCGGATGCCATATGCCCCAGGAGCCTCTGAAAAAGTTTCAGTGGAACCGCACTCTTGCCCTCGAACTGACGAAGACAAGTCAGCAGTGAGTGCGCGCGCTCGTTCGTGAGCTGCGCGGACATGGCGACCGAGTCTATCTCCACGCCGAGAAAAGAGATCCTCTGCACGGGGCAAAGTTTGCTCTTCTCTCGGTTGACCCGAAGGCCCAGACGGGCTAGGTGCCGGAGCACCAAGTCTCTGTGTTCGCAAAGCTGAGCTCGAGAGTGTGCTAGTATCAGCCAGTCGTCGAGATAATTCAGGATGCGAACCCCGTGTTCGCGAAGGGGAACAAGGGCTGCCTCGACGATCTTCGTGAAGACGCGAGGGGACAGAGCTAACCCGAATGGGAGAACGGCGTACTGATATGCCTGGCCCTCGAAGGCAAACCGAAGAAACGGTCTGTGTCGAGGTAAGATGGACACATGGAAGTACGCGTCCTTCAGGTCGATCGCTGCAAACCAATCCTGATACCGAACACATTCGAAAATGCGTTTGGCCGTGAGCATTTTGAACGGTAGTCGATGGAGAGAACGGTTCAAAATGCGCAGGTCCAGGATCGGTCGTAACCCACCGGTCTTCTTGGGGACAATGAAGTAGGGGCTGTAAAACCCGGACCTCACCTCGGCTGGAGGGACCGTCTCGATTGCACCCTTCGCCAGCAGGGTCGCAATCTCCGCTCTCAGGACTGGGGCATTGCCACCGACTATCGTGGAGCGAACTCCCCTGAAGCGGGGAGGAGACCGTGCGAACTGAATCGCGTAGCCGAATCTGATCGTTCTGATGACCCAGCGGGATACCCCGGGAAGCGCTAGCCAGGCTTCCAGGAAGTGAGCCAACGGGGTCATGTGAACCACAGACGTCCCCCCGGAGGGGCAGCGTGGCGGGTCGACTGGCACGCGTGCAGGAGTTACCCCGCTCGGATGCGTCGAAGCCCGCTCCCCGACAGAAGGGACCAGGGAAAGCGGAGCGTTCCACGGGGGTCCGTTCTGCCGGGGGTCTGGCGAGAGAGGGGGAAGGGATTGGTGTAGCCCGGGGACGACACACGCACCCTTCCGCGCCCTCCGAGACAGAGAGGAGTGAGTGGGCCGACACACTGGGGCATCGGGGGCACTCACTCCAGTCTGTGAGCTCAGTGAGGATGTCAAGTCTTTCTTTAACCAGTTCAGGGTGCTGCCCACCCGTGGGTGAGCAGCGGGGAGCTGAGAACAAAAGATTCTCCCCCGGCCCTCCACCGGGGGAAGGAGGGGGCCTGCTACCGCCTCCTGGGAAAGACTCGAGATCGACACTGAGCCGCCCGTGTCAGGATCTTCGCTTGGCCTGGCGTTTAGCGGGGCGAGCGGCCTGAGGGGGCTGTGACGCCGGCCTGCGGCCTCCTCGACGCCGGGGCCCGGGTGAAGGCTGCTGCTGGGGCCGGGCGGGAGGGAGGGGAGCCGCAGGGGGGCGTCCTCGGCGGCGAGCAGGGGGAGGCACCTGTGCCGACGACTGGGTGGAGGCAGCAGCTGGTCGTCGGGGCAGGATGTGTTTGATGGCCTCCGTCTGCTTCTGGGCGGTGGAGAACTGTTGGGCGAAGTCCTCGACCGCACCGCCGAAAAGGCCAACCTGGGATAGCGGAGCGTCGAGCAGACGAGTCCGCTCAGCGCTCCGCGTATCCGCCAGGTTGAGCCACAGATGACGCTCCTGAACCACGCTAGTGGCCATCACCTGACCAACGGCGCGAGCAGCCACTTTCGTTGCCCGGAGAGCAAGGTCAGTGGCGGACCGCAGTTCTTTGAATGCCGTCGGATCAGTCCCGCCCTCGTGCATGTCTCTGAGCAACTTCGCTTGGAAGACCTGCAAAGTGGTCATAGCATGCAGAGCGGAGGCCGCCTGTCCCGCCGCTCTGTAGGATCGCGCCGCCATAGCAGACGAGAACCCACAGGCTTTGGATGGGTGCTTAGGAGGACCACGGGTGGAAGCGCTCTGTGGACACAGCTGCATCGCAACAGAGCGCTCCACCGGGGGCATCCCAGTGTACCCACGGGCGGCCCCGCCGTCGAGGGGGGAAAGGCGGGGGAGAGATCGCGCTCTCGAGTGGACAAAGGAGCCCCCCAAGAGCGCGATAACTCCGCATGCAGCTCGGGGAAAAAAGGTATTGGAGTCGGCCGTGGCTTTGCAGCGGCAGCCTTGTCCAAAAACCAATTATCCATCCGTGAGAGGTCGGGGCAGGATGGAGGTTTCCATTCTAGCCCGATACTCCCAGCGGCTCGAGACAGCATGGCCGTCATCTCGGGATCTGACGCGGACAACGCTGGGACTCCCGAAGGAGGCAACGCAGCCGGATCTTCCTCTCCCGAGGAATCAAGCCCGCCTAGTGATGCTGTAATAGACATCGCATCATCATCTGGGGCGCTGCTCGAAGCAGCCGGTGCCGCCGAAGAGACAACCGACCGAGTCGAACTAGCGCCCGCTGGCTCACGCACTGAGGCGGGAGGTGTGGCCCGAGGAATCGTCGGGGCTTTATCCCACACCGTCACCGTTAGATCGCCCGGTCCCCGGGTCGACGGGCCCCCTTTCGTGAAGGAAGCCGATCGAGTAGGGGGGACCGGGGCTCTCACTCTAGTGAGATCATTGAGCCGCGACCTCAGTGTGGAGATGGTCATGGTCCCACAGAAGGAACATGAGTCATCCACGAACGCTGCTGCTGCATGCTGAATGCCCAAGCAAACAAAGCAGCGTTCGTGACCATCAGATGACGATAGAAATCTACTACATCCAGAAGGGCACGGGCGAGCCATCTTTAAAAAGACGTGCCGCGTGCAGCTCTTTTACAGAGAGGAGAGAAATTCACTCTTTCAGCGCTGAGGCTACCAGGGAGAAGCGCAAAGTCTGGCAAACCACTGCACAGATCGCAGGCAATGCAGAATCTCGCTGGGTACCGCCGTCACACCAACACTGAAGAGGACGCTCGTCTCGAAGAGTCTTGAATCAGCTTTGAGGAGTGAAGAGGTTCTCTTGGCTCCGAAGCGAAAACATACTGCGGTTGCGTTCACTTCCTCCTTTTATACTCACGGAGTAGGGCGGAGTACGCTATGCAAATTCCCGCAGCCCCAAGGCATTGCATGCCATTGGCTCGTGTTTAAATACTCGAAGAGGATTGGCTTTCTATGCGAAATCCCCCAATCTCCGTCACTTCTGACGTAACTCGAAGTGACTACGAAAGGGAACTAAAACCATAAAAAAATCCGTGATCCAAAACAAAATAAACGTTAACTGAAATAAAATATAATGTTATACTTTATTTCATCTAGTTGGCAAAGCATTATTGTTTTTCACCTTTTTACACAGTCAGGACTATGTACAAACACAATATTTTTTGGCACACACAGAACAGACATTTTTTAAATATTCACAAAATTGTTTGTTTGGGTGTTAAATTTGCAACAGCCTTTCTAAGAAATTGCTTACTCCACCTTAAATTGTGAATTGTAAATGTTCAAACACTTTTGGGTCACTGTGGTCTCATCATGAATCAACTTTGTATGAAATCTTTGGGTCCTTTGTCAAATTCATAACATGTAATGTTTCAATATATATTAAAAAAAATTGGTTCGACGTACGTGTTTGTGCTGGCTTAATGTTTCAAGTTGACTAAATTTAAAATTAAGGCAGCGCAAACACTTATATATTTTAGATACTCTCAAAGGTTTCTGAGAATCCACTTGTGAATAATTGGGGAGTTATTTTTATGTCTGAAAAATAGGGGCACCTATCTTGATACCATGCTGCCAAGGTATGAGGTTGATGGAGTCCGACCTCCCATCGGACAGCGGACGAGACTGAGCAAAGGGGACATCGCTCAAGCAAGAAAATTATACAAGTGTCCAAGTAAGTGGGCCTTCACATCCCAGTTGGGTTGTGCAATTAATCGTAATTGATTTTCGATTTTGATTTTGGCATATGAGATAATTGAGTTAAAATGATTATTATGTCTTAGTTATGTCTTAAGTGAATGTAAACAGTTGAGAAAGAAAATGTGTGTGTATCAGTATATTGGATCCATGCATTCAGACTTAAAGTGACAGCAGCCCAATAATACTGCTTTAGTCTGTGTCATTAATGTTAATTCAAATTTCAAACATAAAATCACTCACTGCTCTTGCATAAATAAATTTTGTAGTACTGATTACTGAACTGATTCTTCTTTGGCAGTCAACGAAGGTGGTCGCATTTTCTCTCCCTCCCCTTACCTCCCTTGCTTTGCTTCTCTCGTCACGTCTAGTCTACTGTCTTGTACTTTGAGAGACTCTCTCAGCACTGCTCTCCAAACTAAGAAATAATGGATTTGATCAACTGGTCTCTCAACGCAATTGATCATCATCTTCTCCATGAGAAGCTTGGGTTCGGGGGAACCTGACTGTCATGCCGGAATGTTTACAGATGGCTACACTAACGCGTGGGGTCGTGTGTCTGGCGGCTCTTTCCGTGGAGGACGTTGAAGATATCTACCTATTCGGAACCCTGATAACAGGTCTTCTGCTGATTGGATTAGGCTTTGCCCTGGTTTATCAAGCACTGAGACTGTGTCTATGAACCAGAACATGGATAACATCATGGAGAAGCTCACAGCTTTGCAAAGGCAAATGGATCGTTTCAGAGACCAAAATGGACCATGAGAATAGTCTTGTACTGTAAATTGACTGTAGCTACTCGCCCCAAGACTAGAGGTCGACCGATATTGGATTTTACCGATAACGATAGTTAGGTTGGGCTGTACTTGCCGATAACCGATTAATCAACCGATAGTTTTTAAAATTGATACTGGATAAAAACAAGCATAACACTCCAAGTAAAACAGTGCTGAACTTTATTATAAAAATACAAAAAACTGTATGAACCATGAAAACATGTCAATAAAAGGCATTCTTTCAAACAAACAAAAAATAATACTTAAAATTTGCCATCTGAAAATAATTTAAACAATAAAATATGTCAAATGTGTGTTTCTTTAGCTATAACATGTTGCAAGTCCAATTTGTTAACAATGATTTATTAGCTAGTTTACATGAACTATGTGCATTATGCAATATAAATGTTTACAGCATGAATATTTGAGCAATACAATTTCACCTTGATCATTCATGTTAGTTCATAGAGTTTTAAAAAATAAATAAAAACCTTAATTTAAAAATGTAGTATGTTAATTAACAAACAATGAACAGCAGTTATTAACCTTAGTTAATGTTAATTAATGTGTTAACCAGCAACTGGCAAGTTCGGGGCTTTATTACTGTCGGTGGTTCGGGGGGCTCCACTATGCGCTGCTCTGTCTATTATTTGTCCAACCTAAAACAACGCCAACGGTCCGTGAAGCATAGCCTATATGAGTTGCGTATTTTAGTTCCACTTTCATTTTGTTTGTATTCGCTGCTAGGTAACGTGTCGATAGATCGCTTATTGCTCAGGTTGTGATATTTGTCTCCGTCTCACTCTGTCTCTCATGTTCCCACAGACGTTTAATCGCGCTATTCTTGTCACGGATTCATTGACGCGTCCCTTCCACGCTTACCATGCATTTAACGTGTGGCAAATTTACTGGTCGCACATGACTGGATGTAAAATTCAGTCGCACACTCTCAAATTTTGGTCGCAAAATGCGACTATTTGGTCGCAGTCTGGAGCCCTGTATTTTATAGAACTTAATAAATATTTAATAAAAATAAATATGTATTAAAGTGATGGTGAAAAAAGAACCGAAATCGAATGCTTCTCTGATTCGTTTGTTTTTGTCGGCTGTATGAACATATCAGTTTGCTATCATACGTCTCTAGCTTATATGCAACGTCGCTGCATAATGAATGCCTTAAAGTGACTAGCTGGATATAAACTAATGCAAATAGATGGTAACAATTTGGGACATTACACATTCGGGTCGGACTTAGGTGTATTTTTGTGTCAGTGTTTTAACCGCTTGAGGTACTACTAATGTGAGTCCTCTCAGCCACTCTCGAAGGCAAACAAACATACTGTTGTGCGGTTCTTTCTCTACTAATGCAGCATTTAGTCAACAAATTCATCAGTTTATAATTAATGGTATGACAACATTTCCTGTGTACATACCTTTTCGCTGTCCGTGCTTTAGCACGCGCATCAGATTTCGGCGATCTCCACTCTCCACACAGCGCGCGCTCAGTGCAGTGCACAGTGTCACGTGTCGAAATAAACAACATGACGCATCAGTTGATAGTTTTTATGACACCTCTAGAGGCCGCTCTTGTACTGCATGATGCCAGCAGACCCTTCTCAGCTCTCTCGTACTGTGTAATGAATGACAGCGAGCACTTCTCAGCCGCCCCAGCAACGGACGAACCAGGAAATAACTATCGGTGCGGATTTTTGCCGATAACGATAGTTCCACCAATCAACTATCGGTGCCGATTAATCGGCAAATCCGATGAATCGGTCGACCTCTACCCAAGACCAAACAATCCCGATCTTTTCTGTTTTCGGCCGCCCTCAACCAGCACTGGCCTTGACCAAGGCCGCTGTTGGAACAACAACTCCCCCGGAAGAGCACGGCAAGTGAGCCACTCTTGCATTCCTTCCCCGACTCCCCAGACACCTGGGGTCTCATTTATAAAAAAGTGCATATGCACAAAACGGGGCTGGAAATGTACATACGCCAGTTTCTATGCAAAGGTTGTGATCTATAATAAACAAACTTCGGGAGAATGTGCGCACCTTTAAGCAAACTTTGAGCTGTGTGTACGCACATCATGGAGACAAAGGGAATAGGCTTTATGTCGAGCGTCACACGACCAAACCGGAAAACAGGTCTCATCGCATCCGCTTGACAGAGAAAGTGTTAACGGCCGTAAGACCTGACTACGATATCTATGGATTTTTAAGGTAATCAGCTAACCTACCTAGTTCACTTTATTATTGGCGTTTTATTCCATTTAAATATCTAAACGTTACTGTGAAGAAGAAAAAATATAAAACGTTTAAATATCAATCTGCACATGTGAGGGACATTGGTTATGCTAATCTTTGCTCGCTCCTTTTAAAGGGACACTATGCAGTTATTTTAGCTTAATTTAACAGCTTCAGAGTTATTGAAATGGTTATATGACTTCTTTTGGGTTGAATGGGGGGCGTCTCGACCCCCCCTGGTGCCTGTGAGCGGAAAAATCTCACTTGCAATTTCAGGCTCGCCGGCCTCAGCATCAGGAAGTATCACATGATATCAGCTCTCGCGATGTAAAATATTTCTTTGCGGCAGCACTGCACATATCCAGGAACAAGGTCGAGAAGGATGGAGTTTGTCGCAATATCGTTATGGCGGAGCCGGCATATAAGATATAGAAAGCTAGGAAAGCATTGTCGGAGGAACAGAGAAAGAGGAAAGAGCAGACTGAGGAGTCAGACGCGAGCATAGCCGTAATGTGCGTGTGATATGTCCCCATTGAAATATCTCGCAGCACGGATGTACCAATACAAACAAATAAAACATCTCCAGGTAACTCTAGTAGATTCATTTTGTAAAATCTGAGGGATTTATTCTATTGTGTGCACTAGTTCAGGTGGGTGCGTGTTCGCACTGGTATGTCGGTCAAGACATCTGAGTCAGGATTCAGTTCAAAGATTGAATGAAATTATTTTAACATGACAGCACAGTCAGACCACAGGGCATTTATTGTTCAACAGTCTCATTTAGTGGACATTTACGTAGAAATGTGGTCTGTGAATGACAAAAAGAACAATGAATAGACAATAATCACAATAACTTTCAACAATTTGCAAGATAAAATAATATCCTTAAAGTATAACAAATACTAAACAAATATTATTGCAATACCATGTAGTGCCACAAAGTGGCGCATGAAACGCACAGAATAAAGTAAGTGAAAGGTCATTATATAGTAGTTGCGTTATCAAATGGCACGGTAAATCTGACGACTGGCAAGAAATCAATAATCCAAATGTACAATACTAAATACTATAAATGTATTACCTACAAACATCCATTAAATACTAAAGGAAGAATTAACATTAAGCAGCAATACAGAAGATGAACACGAGAATCACTATATTGCTCGTGCAAGTGAATCTGACGATGATAAACTAACAAGTCATCACTTGACTAACACAAAGTCAACTAATAAAGAACAGAGAATCGCACTGACTTATTTTCAATGACTCACTAAAGGAATGTCCACTTTATGGAGAAGTTTTACCGTTGTGTCAGCCTCAGGAAACTATTATCTCTTCAACGGGTGCACACTGACTGACGACACACAGTGGAGCGTGCGCTTATTGGCTGGAGATTGCGCTTGTTGACTGTAGAGCACGTTCATTGGCTGTGTCTTCTTAACACTGCCGCCCCCAAATATGCAGAGCATATTTGTTCTTTATAGGCTTAGTCAATTTGTAGGAGATAAGTCCTGGACACATCTTCGTCTGAGAAAGCAGGAAGGGGAATCAAACGAGCAACAGGTCGCATGTAGATCTTATCATTGATTTGGATCTCAGCTGCTCTAATACATCCATCTGAACCAGGGAAGGTTTTTATAACCTTGCCCAATAACCACAAAGCACGTGGGACCTGTGGGTCTACAACCATAACTACATCTCCAGCGGAAATGTTTTTAACCTCGGAATGCCACTTGCCACGAGACTGTAAGTAGTGACGGATGAAACTTGACCAGAACTGGTCAGCCAATACCTGGCTTTGCTTCCATCTCCGCCGCCCCATGAGTTCAGTAGCTGGATAGACCACTGGTGGTAAAGAACTATCTGGCCGCCCCATGAGCAGGTAGTTAGGCGTAACAGGATCAACATCAGCTATGTTACTTGAGGTGTAACCTAGTGGCTTACTGTTTAAAATGCCTTCAACTTCAATTAGGACTGTCAGGAGCACTTCTTCAGTCACAACCTGTGAGCCAAGGGTGGTGCGTAGGGCATTTTTCACAGACCGAATCTCTCTTTCCCAGGTTCCGCCAAAGTGTGGAGCATTTGGTGGGTTGAAGCGGAAGGATATTTTCCTTTTGGCCAGCTGTTGTTGTAGTTGAGGGCTGAGGGAAGAAAATGCTTCTTGCAGCTCTCTTTCTCCTCCACGGAAATTGGTGCCCTGGTCAGAGATTAACTCAAATGGTGTGCCACGCCGGGCTACAAACCTCCTTAAGGCCATTAGGAATGAATCTGTATCCATAGAAGTGAGAAGATCCAGATGTATACTTCTCGTTGTTAGGCACTTAAAGATTACTCCCCACCTCTTCTCACAGCGTCTGCCGATTTTAATTTGAAATGGTCCGAAACAGTCCATGCCAGTACTGTAGAATGGTGGTTTATGTAGTCTCAAGCGGGCTGGAGGTAGATCTGCCATTTTGGGAACAACTGGCTTGCTCTTCCACTTTTGACACTCTTTACATTGATGCTGCTGCTTGCGTATGGCTTCACGTCCTCTCAATACCCAAAAGTTTCTCCTCATTTCTGCAAAAACCCTATCGGGTCCTGGGTGGCAGAGCTTGCTGTCGTAATCCTGGATTAGTAATTTAGTGCTGAAATGATGAGGATGTAGAACTATAGGGTGGATTACTGATGATTCCAGTCCTTCAGCCCGTCGCAGACGGCCACCAACTCTGACAAGCTGACTGGACGTGTCAAATTCTGGTGC